ACCGTTATTTAGCTATAAAATTCGACTGAATCCTTTGGCGGTTATCAAGTGTTCTAACTCACATTAACCCGGAGGTCAGTTTCCGCCTGCTCGGGTATTCAAAAATGAGAGTGGGTCAAACCACTACTATGCGCAAACTACTGTCACCTACTGGAACTGTTCTTTACGCTTCACTCAAAGTGGGCAAAACGTTCCGATCCGTTGAAGTCTATCAAACATCAACCACTGCTCTCCATTCTTTCCATACACCACGACAATTTTCTATTGAGGCGAATTAGTTTGACTAAAACAAGGATGAACTGACAGTCTATTCTGACTAGTCTTCTTCCAGGATGCTTGCCTTTGTAACTTTACGGCGGCTGATTTCTGAGAGGATAAGCTTCATGGATATTCGAATGACAGTTGCCAACCCTCGGCGATCGGCAGCAAGATTTGCGCGGATTGTAATCTAGCCGAACTTCCATTGGTGATCACCGTAGACGAGGCAGAAAACATAGTTTTCTGCATCCATGCCTACCGTTTCCAGCGAGGTTTGTCCGCCACGTCGACAGATCCAGTTTAGACGATGCTAAGGTCGCCTTGGCCATGTCATTATCTGATTTACGAAGTACGAGACCAAATCATTGCAGTCGTCGTCGCCATATAAGTGTGCGTGGTCGTATGATATTCAAATACTGGTTTCCGACTGCTTCATTTGGAAGTTGATCCCTCCACCGTACTCCCGGAAAGATTCTCAGGTACAAGTGATCCAAAACTTCTAATCAGGTTCCGCAGTAGTACGACTAAACCGGACGGACTGCTGCAGAGAACTTGTGTTTTTGTTTTGAGGCAGATTTCATTTCTACGCAATAGGGGATCCCTCAGCTGTAGAAATGCCTTCCTAGCAGCATCGATACGAAGTTGTACCTCGTCTGTAGCTTGGCTGTGGGGCAGTATGGTTCAACCCAGGTATTTAAAAGTTTTGTCGGAATTAATCGGCTCGCGTTTAGTTGTATAGCACCTTCGGGATACTGATTCGGGCTCTAGTGTTGGAATAGTAGGAATTCATGGGGCTGACAATTTTAACTGGGACGCCATCGGCTAGTACTATGTTCCGGAGAGGTTCTCTGTCTACGGAATCGAATACCGCACAGAAAGCAATGATGTAGACTGCTGTGGGTTTTTGAAACGTGTGGAGATGGTCCAAGGACGAGCGTAAAGCAGACATTTGTTAACGCAGTCCACACCTGAACTGAATCTCTTCTGGTTAGGGCTGCTCCTCGCGTGTCTTGTATTTACGTGTATGTATGTGCAAACCGGTTCAGAAAAAGTTGTGCAAAAGCCTTGGTTGCCGCATCAAGTAAACTGATGCCTCTGTAGGTTTCGCATTCTGATTTGTTCCCCTTTTCAGAGAAAGGCAGTAAACTCGATGTGGTTCCGTCCGTTGGACAAGTTCCACTTTCCTCAATTGTACATGGTAAGCTGTGGAGCGGGTTTAAAAGGGCATGTTGGCTGCTGTCTCCATTTCATTCCTGTAGTTGTATCTATCGTTTTTTGCTGATCGTATTGCTTGCAATCTGAGATCTCGACAAGCGGTGGATTGAGCTAGGCGTGTCTCTCTCCGCATTAGCTAACTGGATTGTGTGATCGGATAGCCAGTCCTTCAGACGGCGTGACTCAGCGCCTAGTTCGTGCAGAGCAGCTTGTTGTACCGAAGACTTCAGCCTGATCTAATGAGTTTCAACTGAACTCTCTGTGTTTCCTTGCTTACTGGGGAAATCATTCGATAATTTTGCCGTTATCATACTCAACAACGCGTGGTACTTCTCGATGTTATCCACTAGAAGCACAGTTAAGCTTTTGGGGTGGACGGCCTTCCTGCGAGTTGCTAGGTGGTTTAACTTTCGCACGAACTGGTACGTCACTAGATTCGCTTTTGTTCCCACATTCCACCTCACGAAGGGATGGACAGTCTTCAACCGAAGAAATCCACTGTGAACAGATGATAATGTAATCTAGTTGGTGTGTTGTTTTTCCGTCGTGGAGTACCAAGTCAGATGATTTTTGGGATGTTGAAACCCCGTGTTTGTGACAAACATTCCATTATAATCAGCGAAGTTGTGTAGTCTGTAACCGCTCTTGCAATGCTGCACAAAGCCAAATTGCCCTACGACGTACTTTGTGGCCTCATCTTATGAGCCAGTTGGAGCGTTTGGTCTTCAGCTGTGGCAAGTGCATTCCTTTGGGTACTTTATTGATAAGCGATTGAGCGTTACCGTAGGACTCATCCTTGGAGTTGTTGCCACATGAGGGAGTTAGGGCGTAGACAGCGATTACTGTGAGGTGTACTGGATGGCCCTTGGATCGCGCTACTGCAATCCTGGAGGATACGGGTTTCCCGGAAAGTAAAGCGGTAATAGCCCGATGGCTTAAAGCCAGTTTCACTTCATGTGGACCCGAAGTTTCATTGCCGCTGTAATACATCCAGTATTGGCTATCAATACCAGTGACTTTGATACTTTTTCAGCCGGAGCCCGCCAACCCGACTTCAGAGAGGCATGCGAGGTCCCGCTGATAATCATGCAGCGCGCGTATCGCTAGAGCCTAACTCCCAGTATCTAAAACTGTTCTAACGTCTCAGTATCTAATGTAAGATGTTTTCCGGCCTACAGTCATCGTCGATCCAGGGTTTGAGTAAAGCACTCATTGAACGGTGGAATGCGCAAGCTAATAAATGCGTACTACTGTAAAGGTGTCACTATTGAGAAGAGATAAGCCATGATACTCCGATGCTTCAAAGGACCGTTTATTTTAAGAGATGAAACAACTCAGAACTTAAACAGTCATGTGGTGCACACTCCAAACTATCAAAGGATTAAGCAACAAAACCATTTGAATAACCTTACCGAATTTATTGCACCATATTTTTTACCTATTTACTCTTAATTGCGGTGACAACCGTTGTTTGGTTTTAATAAATAACATAAGCCATCCCAAAATGGTCAGCATATTCCAAAACATCATGCGGAGAAATAAGAACAAAGTTGGCTTTCCGATTGTCTACACACCAAAACCACCAGTCACAAAGTAGAACTGATTCAGTGGTTACAAGTAATGAGATGCAATAAATTCTCAGTGCTGTTTGTCGGTTTTCTGGAGTGTTGATTATTACTACCATCCAACTCCCACTTTTTGTGGCCCATGTTATATGTTGTTGGACGAAACGGTGTCGTTCCTCTACCTCACCATACCCCGACTGTCGGTGAGAGTAAACACGG